TCTATAACATATAAGTCACAAGTGTAACATTTAGCTATAAATTGTCTAATGACAATTACGGCAATAAAAAAAAATTTAACACTGCTATATCTTTACCTGGCATATATATTACAACCTAAATATAGTATGATGGATATAAACTAAAACTACAATTTAGAATTTGGAGGAAGAGAAAATGATAATCATTTTTATTCCATAACGTAATTTTAATACCACAGTACACTGCCAAGAAGTTGTAAATAGTTAAGTCCATATCTCCATAAAACAAATTAGTCATGGATAAGTGAATTCAAGGACTACAGACTTTACCAAATCTACCTTGTTTCCAAACACTCAAAAACACAAACCGAAATAAGGAACTAAAATCATTCTGGTTTCCTGCACCCTTTAGGTTAAGAGGAACAATATTTCCTGACACCGGAAAATGTCAAGTCAGTAGCTGAAGCTATGGTTTTCAAATTCAGGTAGAATACCATTTTAAGAGTCTTTAAGATTCTTAAGAGAAACTCTCATTACTTGACATATCTATGTCAGAATTTAACACAAAACTAAACATATAAAGCAGTACAGCAATTCTCAAACTTCTCTACCCCACAGTCTGAAAAATGTTATGACCTTTTCTTATCTCATCTCTCTCTTGCATCACCTCTTCCCACTAAATCCAGTAAAAACTTCCAAACCTGCTAACACAAATTAGTTTAGGCAGCTAAATTTCTGCAGTGGTAATGTAAGTCAGAAGTAGCTTGTGTACTACTACTTCTTGACTACAGACTCAATACACCCCATTTAAAGTGCAAAGTGAAAGAATTATGTAGAAATCAGGCCTTAAAAGCCTCTTTAAAAAATTATATGGGGGGGGGCGCCTGGGTGGCTCAGTGGGTTAAAGCCTCTGCCTTCAACTTGGGTCATGATCCCAGGGTCCTGGGATCAAACCCCGCATCGAGCCCCGCATCGGGCTCTCTGCTCTGCGGAGAGCCTGCTTTCTCCTCTCTCTGCCTGTCTCTCTGCCTACTTGTGATCTCTGTCTGTCAAATAAATAGATGGAATATTTAAAAAAAAAAATTATATGGGAATCAGGCCCTAAAAGCCTCTTTAGAATTTCTCCATTTGACAGGACAGCACAATAGATCCACCAGCCTTACCCTGAGCTTAGCTTCTTGAACCACTGTCTGTAAAAAATGCATTTTTAAAAAGAATTTTGTGATACAATAACTGAAGTCTTTGTAGGAAAGCCAATAACTAAGCTACAATCAGTAACTATTGCTAGTAACTAGCCTTAAAAGCAGACTGTGATAGAGCCCCAAAGCTAGCTCTCCACTAAATTTTCACAATTTAGGATTCTTTGTGCAGAAAACTATTAAATTCTTTGATATTCATCCTTAACCCAAACCACCCATCTCAATTCCAGGGAGGCAAAAATGAAGAAGTCAAAATATAAATCTACTTTCCTTCCCACATGCCAAAGTATCTGCAGACAGTTATTGTGCTCACCATTATTCCAAAGGGTTCCTAGGCACCTCAAATAAAGCTTCCTCGTTCCTGATGATTACTGTATAATGGAAAAGTGATTTCCCAGTAGGCAATCAACCAGATATATAAGCCAGTAATCAACGTATCCTGTCATCTGTGTCTCCACTTACCCTCAGTAACATCCTGGGGGTTAGAAGTCCGGTCACTAGCTGGATCCAGTGCAACAGTTGCTAATGAAGTGGTGGCTCCAGACATCTCACTCATAGGCTCACTACGGCTTGTTTCAGGCACACTTTCCCTTGAGCTAAATCTTACTCGGGAACTGGATCGGGAGCTGAGGTCCGGGCTGGTATCTGACAAACCTGGAATGTCATCGATCTTCGTTGGTGTCACCATGAACCGAACTGAAGCCATCTTGGTGGTGGTTTCTGGAGGATGCATTATTCTCTTTTCCTTTATAAGAACAAAGAAAAAAGGAAAACCCTGCAAAATCCTTCCTCCTACACTAGCTACTTTTTTGATCGCAAAGACGGAAAAGACAACTTAAAAAAAAAAACCCTCAATAACCTTGATTTACACCACAAAAAAAGTCCCAAATAAGAATCCTTCTAACTCAGAATTCAGACAGACTATCCTAGAAAGTGCACTAGCAGTAAATATTTAAGGAAAAAAAAAAAAAAAAAAAAGACGAAACGATGCCAGTCCCGTGGAACTTCGTTCCTTCTGAAAGAAGAGTTATCTAGATGTCTCTCCTGGTCCAGGACTGCGGGCTCAGTGCCATGGTCTCAGAGAAGGTGAAGGCTTTCTCCCCTCGACCCCCAGGTTTCCGCCGAGGTAGTTAAGTCTTTTATCTGGTAAATGTCCCACGGTTCTAGATGAGCAAAGAGCGCGCAGGCCCACCCTTATCAGGCGAATATAGCACAGATCAGATTGCGAAACGGTGTACACCCGGCCACCTGTTGTGTATCAGGTGAATACCCCACAGGTCTGGCTGGGAAGTGTGTGTAGAGCCACCCGATGTTTTGGAGGCCAATAATCCGCTTGGGTCTGGTGGGAGGGATGCGCATGCATAACGGGAAAATACCCCACACTACCGGATAGAGGAGAATGAAAAGGGCGAGCAGAGGGTGCAGGGGCAGAGCGGATTCCCGTCTCCAAGAGGTCTGCGGGGGTGGCCCACCCGCTCTTCTGACGGAACGGTCTCTAGGATCTGGGAGGAGGCGGCTAGCGAGCGGATAAAGACCCCTCGGACTGCAGTTCAGGGTCGTGGCAGGTCGTTGCTAGTCCATCGAGCCCACGGTCGGCTCCCCGGGTTTCTCCTGCGTGTGACAGGACGGGCCACCCCTTTGCCGGAGGACGCTTTCTCCCCCACCAGGGCCGCGGCGCAGGTCAGCCCCTCGCCGTTCTTCCTTCGGGTCCTAGCAAGAGAGGAGATGGCCTCGCAGGCTGGCTGGGGCTGAGCAGGAAGGGGCGGCGGGGATGAGGGGAGGAGAAGGTCGCAGGTGCGGGATCCCGGGGCCAGCTGATGCGGGTGCGCGCGCAGCTGTTGTTTACGAGCCGGTAACTGTTTCGCAGCCGCGGCGCGCGCAGGAGGGCTCCGGCTGCCGGGGAGGGCGTCCCCTCCCCGGGCCGACGCCAAAGCAGCCGTTACGTGACCTCGCCGCCCCCAGCCCCGGGCCCGGCGGGCTGTGTCAGTCCCGCCGCAGCCCCTCCCTTCCCTCCCAGCTCGTTCCTCATTCGAGGTTAACGGTCCGAAGAAAAGCCCGGGGGAGCTGTCGGAGGGCGGTACCGTCCCGGGAGCGCCGAGGAGCCCCGCCCAGGCTCTGCAGTCTGCAAGGGGACGTAAAGGGCTGCGCGCATGCGCCGCCGGGTCGCGGCGGGACGAGAGGAGCAAAATGTGCGAGGCCCGGAGGAAGATGGGTATTGTAGTTGAGTGTTGGGGTCTGAGCTGCGTGCACTGGAGAAAACAAACCATTTTCTTTCTGGGTCACGCTGTGTTGCACAAACTCACTCTGGAGGCATTCGGGGAGCACACATGCCCCTTGCCCTCCGAGTCCCCAAAACCATCTCAAAAGCGTCTCCGAAAATACCGTTCATAATTTCTTTAAAAATCACAAACCTCCCATACCATATGCGTAGGTATGACACCAACTGAAATTTTTTTTTTAAAGATTCTATTTATCCACTTGACAAATCACAAGTAGGCAGAGAAGCAGGCAGAGAGAGAGAGAGAGAGAGAGAGAGAGAGACGCAGGCTCCCCGCTGAGCAGAGTGCCCGACGCGGGGCTCGATCCCAGGACCCCGAGATCATGACCTAGCTGAAGGCAGAGGCTCAACCCACCGAGCCATCCAGGGGCCCCCCCAACTGAAAATTTTAAGGTGTATTCTCAATTATATGCATTTTGTGCTAAATTTCTTTTCCCTGTCCTTAAAAATGTCTTTTGCTATGTATGCATATATCAGCTCATCATGTTGTACACCTTAAATATATACAATTTGGTCAATTATATCTCAATGAGGCTGGAGAAAAATGATTTTTTCACCTTCTAGTTAGACTGAAGATTCATTTAAAGAAAATGTCCTTTATTTTAGACCTGGAGAAAACAGAAAACTTTTTTTTACTCCACTGCCACCAGAATATTTTTCTTAGCATGTTTATTTCAAGTGTTCAATAAATTTGACTCATCAATATTTTGTTTTAAAGTTATTTCCTATAGCTTTGATCGAGACATTTAAATTTAACAATCTGTGCCCTAGCTTGGCCTGGGTCCTTACACCTCACAAGTGGAAATGTTTAAACGTCATCCTTAGCAATAGGTCAGAACTACAGTTGAAAACCTGAGTCAGGAAATTCTCTTTTATCAAATGACACATAAAATCCAAAATGTGGTTAAAAAGATCCAGTAATAAGAACTTTTTAGGGCACCTGGGTGGCTCAGTGGGTTAAAGCCTCTGCCTTCGGCTCAGGTCATGATCCCAGGGTGCTGGGATCCAGCCCAGCATCGGGCTCTCTGCTCAGCAGGAAGCCTGCTTCCCCCTCTCTGCCTACTTGTGATCTCTCTGTCTCTGTCAAATTAATAAATAAAACCTTAAAAAAAAAAAAAAAAGAAAAAGAAAGAAAGATCCAGGTAACAAAATGAGAAATTTCCAATTAAAATGGGAAACCTCTTGGGGCACCTGGATGGCTCATTTGGTTAAGCACCTGTCTTCGGCTCAGGTCATGATCCCAGGATCCTGGGACAGAGCTGTTTCAGGCACTCTGCTGAGCAGAGAGCCTGCTTCTCCCTCTCCTCCCAACTTGTGCTCTCTCTCACTATCTTGGTCTCAAATAAAATCTTTTAAAAAAATAAGCTAAAATGTAAAGCCCCTTGAAGTTTCTTTCTCTTTAAAGCCTCTGATTAACTCCAGTTTAGAGCTTTCCTGAGGCAGCAAGAAATTCACTTCCTGAGGTACTAATGTTTTTCTCAGGCAGGATTGTCGGTCATTCCAATCTCAGACTTCCCCTTTTTTTAATGAGATGTGTCTGTAATTTATTTTTCAGATTCCTCCGTGGGATTAAGAAGTCTTTTCCACATTGCATTGTAATGCTCCCTGCTCTTGGTCTTCTTTTCCATGTATTCATTCTTCAAGCATTTTCTCATCTCCCGAATGAGGTCACTGTAACGACCAAAATTTTCAGAATGCCGGGGCACGTGGGTGGCTCAGTCAGTTAAACGTTTGCCTTTAGCTCAGGTCATGATCCCAGGGTCCTAGGATGAGCCCTTTGCTCAGCAAGGAAGCCTTCTTCTCCCTTTCCTTCTGCCTGCCCCTCCCTCTGCTTGTGCTCTCTCTCTCGCTATCTCTCAAATAAATAAATAAAATCTTTAAAAAAATTGTTCAGAATGCTGTGGTGTTCGTGACATTCCTTAAGCAAGTTTATCAAGGCATTACATTCTTCAGTGTGCAAGGGTGAAGATAAATCAGGATGCATGTTTAGGAGGTGATGGAGCACAGCAGAGCAACCTGACTAATGGGCACAGTACCCAGGCCAGTTCCAGGTGGCAAAGGCTCCTGTGCTTTCCACAGCTGACTCTGCTGGGCTTGGCCAGGCCCCGTTGCTCTCACAGACTTTCTCATATTTATAAAGAAATGATGGATTTCTGCAAAATCTAATTTGTTTCATACCACAGTGTATTTTCATTTACTACCTAATACCAATATATACTATACCTCTTAAAACTCTTCTCCCGTTTCTGAGCATAGCTCAGAAGATATTAATATCCAGAGAATCTTTTAAAGGAAAAGTCCACCTTTTCTCCTCTATTTCAATTAGGACTATTTCCAGATCAAAGTCTTTTCATTTCAGTTTACACAGCAGGTAGCATGAAAAAATAATCCTTTTTTGAGGGGGTGAGTGCAGGTGGTGGGTTACTTGTAAAGACAAAGTTACAGTCAACATTACAAAACATTACTAACAGAGTTCATTTACTGACTTTAGTGTTTAAGAAGTTTCCATAGCAGATCCTTTTTCTAGTTATTGCAGAATTAACATTTCTTCCATCGTTATCCCCTTAATAAGGTAACATTTTAAAATCCCTGTTAAGTGAACAGGCTAAGAAATTAAAAATTGCTAGACAGGAAACAGGTTTTCTCATTTTACCATTGCTGTAAGTTAAGTGATTCAAAAATCATCTGTCTTCTATTACCACCCAAGTCGAGAGATTTTTTTTTTTTTCCTAGCAGTCAGCAACTATCCTCACTTTTTCTGCTGAGATACTCAGACATCAGAGTCCAACAGAAACGTATCTATCCCCTTCCAGGACCTGTGCTGATAAATCAAATTTATGCTGATTTAAGTTACATCTGTTTCTAGAGTCTAGACTCTTGACACAGTAGAAAAAGATTGTATAATTAGAACACAATCTCCATACAGCAATTTTTTAATCAGTGGCACTAGGCAGACATTCAAATCCAATGTCAAAAGTCACAAATGGGAAGACTGGAAACTAATGAGTTTATTAACTTAGCAAAGAAAGGACAAAGTTAGCATTTCTTGAAAGCTCATATACAGTATTCTGCCTCATCATTCCTCTACTATGAATTGTCCTAAGAAATCTCCGAGGGTTTTTTTGTTTTTTAATTAACCCCAACAGTAGCTTAAAAAAAAACCCAGCAAAATCCCTGCTTGAATCTCTCATACCTCATCTTCTAAATTAAGATCCATGTGGAGTTCCACAAAGCAGCTGGCTGCCAAGGAGAATATAAAGTTAAGTGTATGTGAGAAAACAATTTCTTGGAGAGAACTAAATACCTGGGAATATTTTCAGAAGGGGCGTAAATGATGTATCAAGCCATTTGTATTCACAACGGTTCTATCTGCCACACAGTGTAGATAGATATTGATAGAGACCCACCACTGAACCCTATCAAATTTAAAGCTGGAAGAAGGCTTAGAAATTATGAGAAAAATGAGACTAAACTGGGTAACTTTACTTTCTCAGTTATGCAGAGGGGAAAATCCTGGTCTCCTAACTTCCAATTCACTGCATTCCCTCTACAATATAGCTGCTCTTATTTTTCAAACAACTCCTCCATTTTCAGTGAAAACATCATTTCAAGGGGCAAGAAATTACTTAAATGAGAACAAGGGTATTTTTCACTGAACTCCGACAGTTGTGGAAGAGTCTCAACCATTCTTTCAGTTCCCCAACACCTTATCGCCCACAGCACTACTGATCAGCAATGACTTAAGTTCTTCCAAGTGGTCTTGTAACCCTGGAGAGCTCTTCCTTCTCATCTCCCTCTTTTGTTTTTAAACCCCTCCTTTTTTCCCCACAACATACAAAATAAGAGCTTTTTCAAAACATTTTAATAACCTAGCAGTGATTCAAAATAGGGAAAGAAAATTCAAACTTGTTCCCGTAAGAGGGAGGCTCCATGACTGCTCTGCACAAGCACGATCAAGGGAAACGATGAAACCGGATTCCAAAGAGCAAGGGTGGTAAGAAGGCGTCAAGGCTCACAGTTTGAAGAGCTTGGTTTCGGAAAGTCTCTGAGGGGTAGCAGAAGAGACATGAAGTTTAAGGGACCCTCAGAGGACAGGGCGCGGTTGCTGGGTCATGAGAACCTTGAAGCGTTTCTTGACGGTGATTCGGTGTCGAGAGTATTTGTCATCCGGGGAGAACCGAGCAGGATGCGCCGAGCAGGTCTGTTGTCCCAGAGGGTCAAGCTTCTGCTCAAGGAAGAATGAGAGACATAATTTCAGTACAGGAGTGGTGGGAAAACTCCCATCACTGGCGTCGTAAGAGACAGAAGCTGGGATGGGGAAAGGCTGCGCGAAAAAATGTAAGCAGGAAGACAGGAGATGCGACGGTTAGATCAACAAGTCATACACTCCCTCCACCACTCGTGGCTTCTGGGCTAATCCCCCCCACTAACCTACGCAATTAGGTAGCGGGTTTCAACCGCTCCTCCCACCTTCGCTTCCCGCCATGACCACTTACTACCCATTTTTTTCCCTCTCACCTTCAGTGTATAGACCCGGTCTCCCTGCTCGTTGAGGTAATACTGGAGGAACATGACAACGCCAAAACGAGATGTTCCAATTTCGTCCGCAGCTCTAACTGATGGTCTCACGTGTTGGCCAATTTCCTTCCGGTAGAGCCGGAAGTCTATCTCAAGGCCTGCCGGGAAATGTAGTCCATTTAGGCCTCTCTCCAGTAGGCCAAGAGGGGGCGAACTAGCGCAGGATTTGGCCCAGTTGCAACCCAGTTGCAACCTTGCAAGGCGTTGGCTTCCAGTTGCAACTTTGCAGGCGTTGGGAGACACGTGGAGTGTGCCCCACTGTGTGCAAAACACTGCTAGGAGTTAGAGGGGGGTAGGAATGGATATGAGTTGAACATTGATGAATAGAATCCTATCTTTATTTCGAGATGCACACCCATTCCACAGGCAGTGTGTTTCTAGTGCCTGGAGAAACAAAGGCTCCAGGATTCAGAGCCCCTTTACCTTAGGGCATAAAGAAGAAAATTTTCTTCCCTCCCCTCTTTTACATCCGGTTTCCCCGTCCTATTTCAAAGTATTGGCGGTAAAGAGTGCATGATGGGTATTCAATATCAGGTACAGCGAAGAGAGCGTGAAGTTATTTTATGAAACTGGTGAAGTATATTTTAGTGGTCGAACCAAGATTTAAACTCAGGTCTCTTTATCACAAATCCAGCGCTCTTTCTTATAGTGGTGAGTAGCTAATAATAGCATAATATGATGCACCTCCTAGGGTTATTTCGAATTTTTTAAAGAACGTAGAAGTTCTCTTTATAGAACTCTAGGTTTTAAAAAATGACAATTGGAACCCAGATATTACAAAGACGATCGTTGCAGTATTATTTACGATGGCAAAAACATTGGAACATACGTTAATTTTATAACCAAGAAAAGCCTGAAAGCGTTTTTCTTTTTTTAAAGTATATAGTCTGTATTTACTTGTAGCTGCATAAAATATCTCTGCACGGATTCACAAGCAACATACTATTGGTTTCCTCTGGGATAAAGAAATTGGTTCCAAAAAGAAAGAAAAGAGAGAGAGAGAGAAATCAGTTCCAGAAGAAAGGAGTGGGAAGGACCCTGGCTGTATATTCCATTTTGCGTAGTTTGACTTTTGAACCATGTTAATGTATTTGCCATTTAAAAACTAAAATTATTTAACAAAAATTTTAAACAACAAAGTAATTTAACAAAAGGAAGGCCTTTTTGGTTTTGGTATTTGGGGCCGAATGGCAGTTTTTGATAGAGCGATGCTTTTCAGCCAAGGGTAAGCTGAACTTTCCGTGGACTGCAGAGCTGATGGAAGTGGACTATTTGAGATGGCAGGGCAGCTTTTTTTTTTTTTTTTTTAAAGATTTTATTTATTTGAGAGAAAGTGAGTGAGAGAGCACAAGCAGGGGGAGCACCAGGAACAGGGAGAGAGAGAGAAAGAGAGAAACAGGGCCCCCTGCTGAGCTGGATCCCTAAGATGGTAACCCCAGCTGAAGGCAGCCGCTTAACGGATTGAGCCACCCAGGTGCCCCAGCAAGACAACTTTCTAAGGAAATGATATGCATACAGCCAAACATAACCCTGATTTTCTGAGACAATCCTACTTTCAAATATTCTGTTTCTTTGATCCTTAAGTGCACAGATTATGTACTTTGAATTTGGTTTGGAAAACAGAGCCAATATTGAATTAAGCCAAGGGTCTGTCACAACCTTCTATTAATAGGAAGTCAGTTACAGAACTGAGTGGGATTGAAGGGCATAAAACTGTATATATATTGGTGAAGAAATGTATAAGTAATCGAGATATAAAACTATAATGTTGGAATCAGAAAGAATTTACAAACTGCCCTAAAAAAGACACACAACAGTCGTGTTGCCATACTCTGGTTTGGAGGGAATTCCTGGTTACTGCTTACTCACCAGAGCCCTCTGGCATCTCTCTCTACCTCTACCCCTGCTCTCCTCCCCTCCCCCACTGCAGAATGTTTTGAGTCCTAGATTCTAGTTCTGTTTTGATCTGATCTTTATCTTCCCTTCCTTGGATCCCTGTGTATCTGCTGGGGCCAGGTCGCTCTCTGGGCCCTGGACCAGACTGTGTCATTCTGGAAGCTTCCCGACAGCCACGGTTAGTGTCCAAATCTGAGAGGATGGCTTCAGATGGAGGTAAGTCTGCAAGTGGTGGGGAAGGTCCTGACTACCTGCTCACATCCTTAGGGATTCAGATTTGACACTTTCCCTGGGGATCAGCTTTTGGGGCTGACCTAGACAGATGTAAGAGCACTAGACCCCAGCAAAGTCATGAGACTTGGGGAGGCTGGGGAAGGAGATTGTGCCATTAGCACCAGGGCTAGGGGATGAAGAGGGCTTCCTGGGAAGCAGATGAAAGCCCTTCAGAGGAAAGTGCTGGGTATAGAAAAGGGATGGCAGTTAGCAACTTGTTTCTCTGGAAGAAGGATTCCCCTCAACATGTGTTTGTGGGGCATGGGCAGGGGTGTGTGTGTGTGGTATAAGCAGCACAGAAAGGGTTCAAGGGGAAGGTCCACATTCCAGTGTCTCGTGTAGGCAGTTGGAGCCTGCTCTAGAATTATGTCCTGAGAGAGCTGAGCTGCAGTCACTCTCAATCTTATCGAGTTGGGTGGGTGGAGATCTTTGCTGGAAAACTACTCCACTGGTTTTCTGTTGCCTAGTCTGTAGAGAAATGTCCTCCTAAAAGCTACTCTGGAAGGTACTGGAAGTACCTCTGCTCAGAGCCTCATGGCTCCTTTTTGCCCCAGAGATGGCTTCTTTTCCAGTTCCGAGAGCAGTTTTCCTTGATTTCCCAGGACCCGGGGTGTTGGGTAACTCCAACTGGAATGAGAGCTGGGGCTTCCCTTAAATGTTCTCAGTTTTTCTACCTTTTGTGGAACTCAGGCCTTCAGACCCATTTCACTTCACAGAATCCTCCTGGCCCTCTGCTTTGTGGTTGAGGTGATGAGTTTGGTCATAGTCCATGTCTCCTTCATGGTCAGGAAGTGGAAGCTGAGTGTTGTTAGTTTGTCGGGGGAATATTCTTTATTAGAGGGGGAGGAGACTTGTGTGAAATTAAGCAAATGATCTATTATTATAATTGGAAATCCTGAGACACATGTCCTGATTAAGTACACATTTTATGTATTTATCCATGGATTTTTGGCCTAGAGTCCACATAGCTCCTTCTCAGCATGTACTGTGTTTCAGACTTCATTGTGCCTTGTTCATAGTACACCCTTAATTTCTGTTATTAGTGCTTCCAAGCAGAAGGACCACAGACAGTCTACACCATCAAATCCACCAAATTTTAGCATGTCCAGCAGCTACTTAGAGCTCTGGAAACCTCCCTTCTTGGCTATCTCTTAGTCATTCCTGGCTGTTACATAACAAAATTTCTGGAAATCAAATATCTAATCTACACACGCTCTCCAGGGGACAGCACTTGTGTGAGCCGTGCATGGCTGGGACCACAGAGCAGCTGGGGGCAGGATTCAGGTGGTTTGAACATGTTTGGAGTGGGTGGGAATAAGGGAGGTACTTATAAGAGGGTGCTGGCTGCCGTGTGTTAGGAAGTATGAGGTCATGGGCCCAACGGTCCTTGCAGCTTCTCTAGGGCAATAATTCTCACCTAGGAGTATGGGACATCAAAATCACTTGGGGAGACACTTGCAAACTCTGCAGTTTCCCCCACCCTTATTCCTCCCTCACCTGTTGAGAATCAGTGCTCTGATTGTTCAGGGACTAAATGGAACTCCAATGACCTAATCTCTGACCTCCTTTTCTTCTAGTCCATTCTCTTTTTCTTCGTCTCAACAGCATCTCCACTGTCGGGACCGGACATGACCATGAAAGCTGGTGTGGCCCTGTCTCCTTTCACTGCACTTCCCTTTCCCCAATCTGCTCCTGGCCCACCAGACCAGCCACCCTGGGAGCCGCCTCTGCAGCCTCCCATGCCTTCAGCATTCTCTCCAGGCAACCCTCTGGTGCTCTCCACTCTCCCCAGCCCATTGCTGGTGACAGGGGATGGGGGCCCTGGCCCCACTGGGGCTGGAGTCATTGTCAAAGTCAAGACAGAAGGGGGGCAAGCTGAGCCCTCTCAAACTCAGAACTTCATCCTTACTCAGCCAGCCCTCAACTGGATTGCCTCAGGCACTCCCTGTGGGGCCCCTGAGGGTCCTCCCCCTCGATTCATGACAGCTTCTAACATGAAGACCCTTCTGCCCACTAAGGCCATTGGGATGAGCCAGGAGGGCCTCCCAGGCCTTCCTGCTCAGGCTCTACCACCAGCTGCCCAAATGGCCTCCATTGTGCCCCCAAAAAAGGCTTGGCCAGGGCTACATGGGGCAACCGGAGAAGGAGGTCCATTGGCTGCCCAATCTAAGCCCGCCCTGGGCGACCTCTCCTACACCTCCAAAGGTGTTTATGAGAACTTCCGACGCTGGCAGCGCTACAAAGCCTTGGCTCGGAGGCACTTGTCTCAAAGTCCTGATGCAGAAGCCCTTTCCTGCTTTCTTATGTAAGTGGGGAGATCTGAGGTTAGTTATCCTAGCACTTTTAAACAAGGAGGACTTTGGGCTGGACAGGAAGTTAGGCTATTTAGGAATACTTGAGGGCAGGTCATCAGGGTGCTATCGAGGCTATGAGAACAAAAAAGCATAACGATGATGATGATGACGACGATGATGATGATGATAGGCCTCTTTACCTACTTCCCAGATTATAACGAGCTTTCAGGTGTCTTCTCTCAAGTGATGCTCACAACTCTCTGAGTTCAGGCAAGCATATTCCGGTAATCTTCACATATAGATGAGAACACTGAAGCCCAGAGGTTTCCTGTGATTAAGCAGAAGGCTGTAAGTGGAGCTTAGGTCTCTGACACCAAGTACAGAGGCCTTCCATTCTATTTTATTATTATTTTATTACCATCTGACATTGTGTTGAGCCATCCAAACAGCTGAGCCCTGACCAAGTGCAGGATTGGAGGATGGTGGGGGGCGGGGCAAAGGAAGTGCCACCCTCCCCCACCATTATTTTATTTTATTCTGAGTTCACGTTGAAATAGGAAGGTGGTAGAACTTCCTTAGTGACCAATGGCCTAGGTTCCACTGCTTGCTAGATTGGTGATTCTGGGCCCCACATTTACTACCTTGCCCTCAGTCTTCTCATCCAGAAAGGGGATGATTATAGTGACTTCAGAGGGCTGCTGAGATGAAATGAGTTAAGGAAAAGAATTCACAAAAGGCCAGAATGTCTATGTGAGTGGATGCTTAGCCAAGGACCCCAGGGGTCAGGGGCTGTCTGTTATGTCTAAAGCCGAGTCTGGGGAATTTTCTCTTTTTCCCGCCCAGACCCACTGCTTCCCTCGACTGCCTGCACTCTTGACATTCTGCGTAAAGAAAATGTCCACATTTTGCTAGACTTAAAAAACAGGTACATTGTGTTCCCAGTCTCTGAGCTCCTAAAGGAATCTCCCTTTCCACCCTGACTCTGGAGTGAATAAATCAAAAGGCTCCCCCAGAGTCCTTGGTGTTGATCACCTTACCAGCTCCCTGCTTTCTCCCGATGGCTCTGGTTCTCTTGGAGCCTAGCAGGCTGAATTTCTAACTCCTAGTCTCTTCCTGTTCTCCATGCTCAGGGGCTCCAGGCAGGGTCTCCTCCAAAATGCAGTCCAGTCTCTCTGCAACAGTAACCCAGGAGGCTGGTAAAATACGAAGTCCAAAGATCCTCGGGCACAGGAATCCTTAATTATAACAAGCTTCAGCAGGTGATTTCTAGACACAGTGCTTGAGGACTCTGGCAAGTCAGAGGACAAAAATGAATCATAAAGAACTTAAAGAGTATTGATATTTTTCTGTGGAGGGTAGCCCCGAGGCAAAAAACAAAACAAAACTTAAAAACCAACAAATAAAAACACCACACAACCTTTAAGAGATTCATTTGGGTTAGGTAGTGCCTTTTTTGAAAAGCAAGAGCCTTTGGACAGGGAGAAGCCTACTTTATAATGAATCCATTAATTTAATAATGTGAGTGCTTTCTTCCTCATGTTTAGTTGAGGATTGCACCGTGAGAATTAAGGGTGGTTGATTTCAAAAGGTGGGGAACAAAGGCAATCATCTGATTTTGTGTGAGATTTGAAAATTTCAGCAGGAAGAGAGTCCAGTATGATAGATGGGTGGAGGTTGGGGGTCTGGAAGTCTAACCAGAGGTGGGATGTGACAAGGATTGGGGGACAAGTTAGCTCTGCTGAGGGACAAGGGGTGTGTGTTGAGGTGTTTGTTGGGACAGGGGCATGAGGGGGGGGGCACATTGTAAAACATGACTGACACAATGGGGATTTTAGCCCAGTGCTTCGCTCCCTGGCCCGGCTGAAGCCCACTATGACTCTGGAGGAGGGACTTCCAAGGGCTGTGCAGGAATGGGAGCACACCAGCAACTTTGACCGGATGATCTTTTATGAGATGGCAGAAAAGTGAGTCTGACTAATCCTCATTCTCCTGAGGGGTGCTGTGGAGGGATGGGATGGATGGGGGAATGTAAGAGGCTTGGATCTGGGTGTCGGGGTGCTTACTAAAAGGGATGCTAGGAGGAGTGGTGTAGACTAGAATGGGGTCTCCTGGATTCTCACTGCTTCTACCACCTTGACCCTAGGGTTTTTCTGTCCTGTGACCTTGAAAGTTCTCCTTCCTCCAGATCCTAAATTATATAGGTCCTTGATATTGAAGCTCTTAGAATGAGATTGGAGCACAATTGGTGTAAAAATTCCTTGTTAAAGGGACCTTGCAAAGAGGAGGTAAGCCCTACTAGGCAGGTTCTTTTCTAGCTTACTGACCTGGTAGTAGGTGGCTACTGATGCCAACCTTGAGACCACTCCTCTTCTGGCAAGAGTGGCACAGAAATCATTTACCCCATTATCCCAGGGAGGGCTTGGTGCTTGCAGAGCTTGGTCAGGGGAAGGTCCTGGATGCCCAGAGTGGTCTCCTGGCTTTTATCCCTCATTTCTCCACGATTGTCTCCTTGGTTAAAGGAGTAACTCTGGGGAAATGAACCCTCTCCTCCAAAACTTAGTTTCCATTTCCTCCCTTCTGAACCCATACCTCCCAGAATTACTCTTCCTGGCCACCAGTCCTAGCCTCAGGACATGGGTCTCAGCACTGCCTCCTGGTGGGAACTGCCTTGAGCTGCAACCCCAGGCCCTGCTTTAGGATTTCCCTCATCCTTGATGGTTGTAGGTAGGGGCACATGAGGCCTCGCAGGGCCCTATGGAGGGATGCAGCTAGGCTTTGGCATAGGCCTGACTGGCTTCAACAAGGCTGTATTAATTGCTGATATACATCCTCCATGATGCTGGGTGAGATCAGGGATGAGACAGAAGTGAAAGTGATGGTTCTCTCCTGGAGAAGCTTAACATTTGTTTCTCAACAAGTTTCCTAAGCCATGACTGCACATAAGGGATTCTGTGGTGACCTTGTGAGGTTCCCCCAGAATTGTTATTGGGCTGTCTGTGAGCAGCTTCCCCCTGGTGTCTGGACTTCTTGGCATTGTCCAGGCCTTCCTCACCCTCTGCAGGTTCATGGAATTTGAGGCTGAGGAGGAGATGCAGATTCAGAACACACAGCTGACGAATGGGTCCCAGGGCCTACTTCCTGCAGCGCCTCTGAAACTTGACCCTCCAGGGCTCCCGGCCACTGAGGTTAGCCAGCAGCCAGGTAAGACTTCCTCATTGCAACAGGAACCTGCGGCTCAAGGCTCAAAGGGAGGTGTGCACAGAGCAGTCATGGACTAGGGAAAGCATTGCCCTTACTCTGTCACTATCCCCCCAGGCGGGGTGGCAATGATGTTCTAAACAGGACATACATACATAGGAGGCTGGCTTTTCGGGTTCCCTTTGTCCCAAACTGTGATCTTGGCGAAGTAAACTACTCCCTAACAGACTGTACATGAGGCACAAAATACCTCATTTGCCCAAGAAATGGGGGCTGGATCAGAAGACTTCTTGGAATTTCAGGGGTTTCCACATGTCTCATGCAGTGATTCTCTTAGACCCTCCAGCTCCACAATCTTCTCCCATGGCTGGTCCCATTTCAGGCCTCATCCAGCCTGTAATCCTTCCAGCATACCCAGATTGCTGCCCTGACAAACCCAAGGCTGGGAGGCAGAAGCCACAGTCCCTGTGCCACTCCAATTCCTCCTTTCCATCTCTTCCCTTAGTGTACATTCCCAAAAAGGTGGCCTCCAAGGCACGGGCCCCCCGCCGGCGGCAGCGCAAAACGCAGAGGCCTCCGGTTCCTGAGGCCCCCAAGGAGGTCCCACCAGAAGCTGTGAAGGAGTATGCTGACATCATGGAAGGGCTGGTGGGGAGTCAGTTGGCCATCGGGGAGGCAGATGGAAAACAGGAAGAGGAAGAAGAGCAGCAGCAGCAGGAGGAAGCAATGTATCCAGATCCAGGCCTCCTAAGCTACATCGATGAGCTTTGTTCTCAGGAGGTCTTTGTCTCCAAGGTGGGCTGGACCTGGGTGTCTGGTTTCTAGTAGATCCTGGGATGGAAACTCCAGGGGACAAAAGACCTAGGGTTTGGCCCAAGGCAGTTAGGAACTATGCTGTCTTCCTACTGGAAATGTGTGTGCATGCATGCATGGGGGAGGGTTGAGGGAGGGGGACACATGGCTCCTTCTCTAGAGCCTCTTTGTTCACAGGTTACTTCCTGTCGAGGACTCAGATCACTGTTTCTTCTGTTCCCCAGGTGGAGGCCATCATTCATCCTCAGTTTCTGGCAGATCTGCTGTCCCCAGAACAGCAGAGGGATCCATTGGCCTTAATTGAGGAGCTGGAGCAAGAGGAAGGACTCAGTCTTGCCCAGGTAAACCTGGGAAGTAGGAAATATCAGAGTAAGAAGCTTGAGTGATTTTATCTAACCCTATGCTGTCTTGGCTGGTATGACTTCTGGAGACAGCTTCAGGACTGGGATTTAGGTGCAAAAGAAGTAGGCAAGAGACTGTGGATACACAGGAAAAGGGGAGTGAGCATAAGGGGTCAAAGCATGGGATTAAGACCCAAGAGGGTGGAAGAGAAGAGCTACGATAATCTGTTTTTGATGCCGTGACTTATGCCACTTGCTTGCGTTCCCTGCCCTGTCCCAGTGCCATCTCCTGACCACCCCCTCCGCCACAGCTTCTCACAGCCAGATAGAGAACAGTGTTTGTCCATTCTCCTTCTAGCTGGTCCAGAAGAGACTCCTGGCCTTGGAGGAAGAGGATGTAGAGGCTCCTCCTAGCTGTAGTGGAGCTCAATCAGACTCCAGTCCTTCTGTTTCTGATGAGGATGAAGATGGGGGTGGGCGGCTTCGGCCCTCCCCTGGGCCTCGGGTGGCTGGGGGCACCGTTCGCCTTGGAAAGGCTGCTTCTCCAGGAAAGCGGGTGAGCGAAGTACATGGTGGGCAGGAGCGGTCCCTAGATGGCCCGAGGGGGATGCGCAGAGATGGGAACACTGTGCCCTCCCCCAGCAGCTGGGACCTACAGCTAGAACCTACAGCTCCACAGGGAACTCAAGGGTCCTCAAATACAGAGAAAAGAGGGGCCGGGAAGGTTGCTAATCAAATATGCCCACATCAGGATGACCACCTGGGAGGTGCTAGGTCTCCTGGGCACCCCCTTGTGGCTGACAGAACTTCTGAAACTCTGCCCCTTCGTTGGCAGGAAGGCCTGCAGCCTGAGACATTTCCTAGCTTGGATGTGGGACTCAAAGAGCTCGCTCCTCTGCAAGGGCAGGGGCTAGAAAAACGGGACAGCCAGCAGCTAGGGGGTCTTGGAGTGCTTCCCCAGGGGACGGAGCCACTAGCATTAACCCAGAAAGGTTCTTCGGTCGCCATGTGGGGAGATGACAAAAGTCCTCCTGTGGTTCAGGGTTACGACCAGAACCTTTCCCTTAGAGCAGCTGGTGACAGGGAAGGGGACGGAGCCTCTCTCAGTCCAGGACTTTGGCTGAGCAGTGAGCTGGATGCCGTGGGCTTAGAGTTGCCCTTACAAATTGGGGAAGTCATAGAGAACTTCCACGATGGGGAATGTGTCACTGAGCATCAGGGAGGCTGCCAGGCACTGGGCTCCAGAAGCAACATTTCTCTGGGTCCTGGAAAAGCCACAGCACCTGGGGATGGGGGGGGGCAGTGCCATCCCCTGTGGAGGCCCAGATGGCACAGCTGCCCTGCAGAAGACAAGCTACTGCAGCCTGCCGGGACCTCTGAGGGCCGACAGCCCCTCCCTGAGGCATCAAGAAAATCGAGAACAGAGCCCTGAGGCTACAGGGGATCCCAGAGATCTGTGGGCTGAAGGTTGCTCCCCTTTGCTTGAAAGTAGTATCTGCGCCCCCACACCGGGGATTCCCAAAGAAACCCTTCAGCCTGCCTGTCAAGGCAATATCCTTGTACTGGGGACCCAGGGTATCTCCTCCTTCCCTGAGGCCAGCCTGGAAGTGGGGAACAGGGGCCATTCCATCTCTCCTCTGTTGGAAACCACACAACATGCCAACATACTAGATATTAGAGATGCCTGTGGCCTCCAGCTAGAGGTCAGTGAGGATACCCACCCACCAAATTTTAATTCTTATGACCCCCAAGGAGCAGACAGGGAGGATACTGATTTATCCAAGCCTGAAGACCTTGTTCCCTTGCCAGGGAATCAAGAGTCTTATGCTCATGGGAACCCCAAATCAACATCTCCTCACCAGGCCCTTGGAAGCACTTCCTCTAGATGGGGAGCCAGGGATGCCTTAACTCTGAAAGAAAGCTCTCCTGTCAGTGAAACATGCAGCTCAACGGATGGGGCCAAAGGGAAGGAGGAGGAGGAAGGGGAGGATGAGGAACTCTCCAGCTTTGCCTACCTCTTGGCCTCTAAACTTAACCTGTCACCACCAAGGGGGCCTCCCTTCAGTCTTCACCCTGCCTCAGGCCTGCCCTCGACGGGAGGGCAGGGGGCCCAGAGAGCATCCCACTCCCTCTCCGCTGAGGCAAGAGGTCTTGGCCAGTCTCCACATCCTGTTGCCAAGTCTGGGAAGAGAACTCTCAGTGGAGGCCCTTCTCCTGCCGAAAAGAGGCCCTACCAGGGAGCTGACCTTGGCATCTCTGGGGAGAAACCCCTGGCTCTTGGAGTGGTTCGAGCCTCACAGCCTCGTAAAAGGCGGCGTGACACTTTTGTCACTGGCCGAAGGAAGAAACGTCGGCGTAGTCAGTAGGGGACAGTGGGACCCTCCTACCTCACCTGCTGATCCCTAAAGGTGGGGGCCCCCAGAGTAGATTTCACTCCAGCTGCACACCAGCAGAGACTGGTTCTCAACCCCATGGGATTTTGTTGTTTGCAAAAGTAGCGAGTGTGGGAAGGGAGGTCACACTGGCTAGGTTGGAGGTGGAGTACCCTTGGAAGTTGTATGGGGAAAAGAAAAATAAAGATTTTCTGGTTGGAAAATGTTTGCCATGTGCAATTTAGTATTCCTGTCTTTGCTGCTAGTCAGGGTGAGGTGCTGTGAAGGAGGGGGAGGGTGCTCCAGATTCATGGGATCTAGATGTCACTCCAGGCTCCCCAATGAGCTCCTGACCTGAGAAGTCCCCAGGGATCACTTTATCCCTCCCCTCATGAAAAGCCTAGACTCCATGCTGGGGAGTGCTTCTCAGGAAAGGCCATCATTATCTGTTTCCCTTTAAAAGTCTGTAAGATGGAAAGATGCCTTTTTTTTTTTTTTTTAAACTGTCAGATCTCTGGGTTAGATATCTAATTTCCTAAATCTAATTAGTTTTCCATAACTCTATCTAGACAGCACCTTTTAAAGGGGGGCTTCCCCCGCCTTCCTTGAAGAGGCTGGACAGAAGGGATTTAAACGTCCTCCAATCATCCATCCCTGGCAAAAAAAACACCCTCCTGAGGCTGGTCTGAGCTGCAGGGCAGAGGCTGCTCTGGACACAGCTCTCTGCTCCCACCATGGAGGGGAAATCATTCTCAGTGTGATTATTAAATATAAAATGGTCGTTAGCTATTTTTTAATCTCTAATGAGGACAGAACAAGAGGGAATAGACTGAAAAGAGGTTCATGAGGAAGCCTGTTAAAAGGTACATATATAGGGTATGACAACAGAAGGGGAGGATGTGACATGGGCATGATTTCTGTGTAGGAAAGAGCCCCATCTGGTCCAGCTGAAGTGCGGCTTTGTCCAGCAACAGCCAAGAGGACTGACCCCGGGAACCTTTGAGATCTTCCAATGGGCAGCCTGCAACCATTAATCCCTCTGTTCCCAGCTGATACTATCTATGTAATAGCCTTATTTTTTTAAATAGATATAGATATATATTTATATTTATATATAAAATAGTTTTTTACAAAAAAAAAAAACAAACAAAAAATGAAAATTGACTTAAAAAAACAACAACAACAACAAAAAAAACCACAACCAACAACAGTAACAAAAAAACTCAAGCAGGAGCAGAAATGGGCTTGAGGCACAGGGTAGGCCAGAGGTGAGCTGGGGAGGTCAAGGCTCTCAGTCGCCCTTCTGCTTGGGCACTGGCACAGTCCCATTGGCCAGAGCCATGCGGCCGCCTGGGGCTGAGGCCTGTGCTTTCGGGGAGGGGCGCAGGTAGGTGCTGAAGAGCTTCCCGTGGAGCGGGTCGTGGAGGGAGAAGTCTTGGAACTGACCTGGACAGGGAAGAGTGAAAAGGGAAAAAGTCAAACCATCTAAGGAGGAGGGGAAGAGGGTGCCCTGTTCTTTTTCAGAATCAGTATGTCCTGTCCCTCTCACCCCTGCTTCACTTCTCAGATCTGAGGTTCTGTCCTCTCTGCCTTCCCAGCCTCACCTCTCAAGAGGATGAGCCACCAGCCCCTGTCCCCTCCCAGCCTGGTGCTGGTGGTGGCTCGAGCCCTCTTGGCAGAGAAGGCAGTGACTCACAGAGGGAGAGGCCTTGGTGGGGTCCCGCCTGGCACAGCTCAGCATGCAAAGTTGCAGCAGCAGGGCGGGGGGACCCCAGCAGCAGGTGCAGGATGGTGCTGAAGCCGTCTCTGTACAGCAGGCGGCCGGGCCCCTCTACTTGCTCCTCGGCAAAGAGCTGGCACAGAAACGGACTCAAGTTAAGCCCTGTCCTCAGGCCATGGCCCCACACCGCCCTGCAGGTCTGCCTGACGGGTACCTCCTCTTCCAAGAGTGCGGAGTACAGGCCCTCCCTTTCTCCCCTGCCGCCCACACCCCGGCCCTTTGCGCAGAATTAAAAACTCACAGCTGCTGCCCTTGCCCTGTTCTCAGCCAGGTCTCAACACTGGGGCACTGGGGTGGGGCATACTGAGCACCTACTGTCTAGAAGCTACTGGGAGCAACACCCCACAGAGGTCTCCGGGTAGGGGTAGGCACGGCCACCACACATTCCCCGCCCCCATCTCTCTGATACCTCAAAGGCCAGGCGAGTCAACTCGTCCAGGCTCCTGCCTCCATCCAGAGCTGCCAGTGCCAAGGCTACATCTCGAAAGTCCACCAAACCTTGGGCATCCTGGAGGGAGAAACCAGGGCAGGATGAGGACCAATGCTGTGTCCTCCCTTCTGCCCTGGATTTTGGCTCCTTCCTCTTCTCAGCAGGCCCAAAGATGACCCTTGTGCCTGCTTCCTTAGAACAGTGAGCTCTAAACTCTCCAGGATTCCTGGGATTTCTCTCAGGTCATGGGTCCATTCAAGCTATCTCCACATCACCCGGGGACAAAGCTCTCCTAAAAGGGATCTCCTATGAATGTTAGGGAATCCCCCAGGAATGCTGAAGTTACCATCAGGCTTCTGACATACCCCACGCTGGAAAAACTGGTTCTCTGCTGACTCAGCCTGTGCTGGAGGACTGGTCCAACAGATAAAGAGAGGGTCACCGGCATAATTTCTTACCAAAGAAACCCAGGGAGGATGTCTGCCCTGGTGACACCATGCTATTCCAGTTTTGGTTCTGCTCTGCTATAGGCTAAGTGGAGAAACTCCTTTCAGACACAGTCAGCCCCAATCTAAGGAATCAACACTCTCTGTCCCGTTAGAGGAAGTTCCAGGAAATCTATAGAGTGCCAAAATTCTTGAGATAGTTCAGGAATCCCCTAGAGAAGCTAGGGGTTATTTTTAAAAAGTATTGCAAAGATCTGATTCTCAAACTCATCCCTGCCTAATCTGTCCCATGTTCTCTCCCTTATGTCATCTTCCTACCACTCAGAGGTGCCCCACAAGGTTGTATGGTCCCCTACCTTTGCCTGAGCCTGAGCACATCAGCTTGGAGGGCAGGGCCTAGGCTCTGGCCTCTGGCCCCTGCGTCCAGCCCCTTTACCTGCTGGAAGTAGCTAAAGGCTCCAGCCACCGTCTGGGGGTCAGAGAGCTGTAGCTGCCTGGCAAACTCTTCCTGGCTGATCATTCGACTCCGGCCTGGCTCTGCCCCAGTGTCCACACAGCCAGGAGACAACCTACAATGGAATTGTTGAAGGCAGACAGCTTACTCAGCTTCTTCCTGGACCTTGGCCTGCAGCCCCAAGAGTCCCCCCAGCACAGGTGTATCTGGTGTTTTTTTAAGATGGACTCTAACTCAGTCCTGTGAGAACCATTCCTCCTTTTCTCACTGGGCTTATTATATCTCTTTCCCTTTCTTTTTACCTCCTTCCTTTTACTCCATTATCTTAAAAAAAAAAAAGAAAAAAAAAGAAAAAATCCTTTACCTTCCCACTTATTTCTTTTTTAAGACTTTCCTTCATTCTTCCCATTTCCTTCTCTATCCGTTGACACTGCCCACACCCTTACATTAAAGGTCACTTACCCAGCCTTCCGAAGCACCTTTCCCAGTTCCCAGAGCCGCGGCTCCAGGGCGACCTTCAGCCGGCCCACCATAATCACGGGCAAGCTCCCTACAAACTCACACTCAGTGGCTGGAATGCCCAGGGCCCTATAGGATGAAAAGCGATGGAACGGAGTGGGGGGGAACAAGGAAGAAAAGTCTTCTAAGGTTTCATTACCGAGTCTGGGCAGCTGAACGTGGAGGAGACCGGGACCCTTTAACCACCCCCAGTCTCAGCTGTGTAGAACCCAGTCCACTGCCCACTCCCCGATCTTTGCCTTGGAACCTCAGCCCTCCACACCCCCCTACTATCTACTCCAGGAAATATTTTGTGGGATACTCACTGTGCCATTACCCTCTGGACATTGTTGGCATAGAGGGTGGGGTTTCTGCTCTCCTCCAGGCTGGGGTGGTACACAGGGAGGAACTGAAACACACACACACACACACACACACGCACACACACACGCACACACACTTCTCATCAGGACCTCAAAGCTATGGGTGAGCACTCCCACCCACTTTTCCCTTCAGGGGTCAGCCGATGCCCATTCGCCTCCCCACCTACAGTGGTGTTGGGGAGGGTGGCACATGTCATACCTCCACATCCACGATGCTGCAGGGCTGAGAGGCTGTGAGCCAGAGGACTTTCAGTCTAAGAGAAGAGAGACCTCAGATGCTCACCAATCCCTAAATATGGGATGAGGAGGGGAGTGGGAAAGTTCTTCCCATTCATATAAAAATGGACCCCGAACCACACAGTGAGCTAGGTAAATAAGCAAGTGGGAGACAAAGGGAAGTGCCAGAAGGCCGTAGGGAAAGAGAGAGCATGGCGGGGACAGGTGTGAGGAGGAACTGCCAGAGAAAAGATGTGAGTAACTGCCAGAAAAGGTGAGGCAACCATGCTGGCTCTCAAGAGACTGATGGGGGAGATTGCTCAGAAACACTGGATTGTAAGTTCAAAGGAGCTACAGTCATAGAAGGAAAGATTAGGTGGGATGGCTGGAAGCACTTCCAGATTACCGGGAGATCAGAACAAAACAGGGAAACAGGCACCCTCTCTCTAGAGTTCTAGAGTTCTCAATCGACAATGAAGAAGGTCTGTTTGCCTTGCCTGGAGATTGAGATGGGCCAGAAATTCTCTGATGGGCCCTGTTCCCCACCCTCACCCCAGGAACACCAAGACTCACACTCCAGGGCCCCTCCATGCCCAGCTGGTGGTGTCCTAGGGGAGAAGCAGAGGTGAGGGGAGATAGGGATTACTTGTCTTTCCTGAAGCTGGCCCATCCTCCTTGGGCAGAGGCCCTGACCCCGCTCCCACCCCACATGCACATCCCACCGCAATACCAAAAGTTCTCACTGATTTAGGGTGGCTCTGGGCTCCCCCCATCTCCTCTCCTGGAC